CCATTTCTAGAGCAATATGCTTTGTCTTTTTTGTATTAGACCGTGGAGCGTTGTTTTAAGCAATCCCTTTGACACCTAAATTCCTCTTTGATACACACATAAAGTAATTGCAAAAGAGTATTTTTGTACTTTGGTTTGAAAATGGTGAAATTTCTACACTGAATAATGAAAATAAAGCAACTAACATAGGATTTTGTGAGGTGCAAAAGGCAAACCATCTCTCCAACGTTTGACAGTCTTCGGACGTTCAGTTCAGTTGTGGCTCAAATCTCTATCCCTCCCAATTTTGAAAAACTCAAACTGCTGAGATCAAACCAAACCACTATCATTTGTGCATCTCAAGTGCCTCTTGAAGCCTGCTTTAGCTCTTGAAATGAGGTCTTGAATATAATGGGAGAAATCAAAGCCAGGCAAAGAAAGATTCAGCGTCACTTTATTTGCAGGGAATTTTTGCATTCTTTCGTAATTCTCTCCGATAGTTACTATGTAGTTTAGAAGTTACTTGGTTAATTATGTCTCCAATTAAGGCTAAATATTGCCATATGAGCAAAAAAACTCCCTGTAGTTTATAAAATGTTGATACTTAGTTATCTAGTTAAATCATAGTATCTTCAACTATAATTATCCTATAATCTTCATGTCAGAAATAACTATGTAATTGAGCAATAGCTGCAATGACGGAAGATGATGATTTTCTCCTTACTATTAAAAAAGAAAGAAAAAAGTGGAGGAAGGTGAACAGCAGTTGAAAGCTGTTTGCAGACACTCAGTAAATCATAAATGTGACCTTAGACACTGCAGTCTCTCTGTACAGTTTGCATCAGTAAGCTTTCCGGAGGCTGGGAGCAAACCAGAATAATATAAACAAAGCAACGTGACTCAAAGCATTATTCAAAAAGAGAACCTTTCTCTGGATGATACAGCAGTCACTTGGTTTAAAGGTGTTTATGACTGCATTCAGAGTGAGGGCCATCAGAGCATCACAACTAGAGTCAAGTCAAAATCAGAATTCCCATCCACTATGAAATTCTGATATTTTGAGATTTGTTTTCAGCCTGAATTGGGACCAAAAAAATCCAAATATTGAAATTTTTCGTGGACTTAAAAGTTGTGAAAAATCCCAGTTTGGAAAAGTTGCAAGTGGAGATCATAATGGGAGAGACAAGTCTGACCCAGGAGCCCAGCCCATAGTTAACGACCAGTATGAAGCGCCTGAGCTACAACTGTCATGGAGCATTGCAGCACCTTAGGTAGCAGCAAGTTAATGTCGGACTATTTCATTTCATTTTTCCCAATGGAAAATTGAAAAAATTGGGCAAACTTAAAATTTTTCCACAGAAAATTTTGATTTTGTGGAAACTGAATTTTCCATTGGGGGAAAAAAGACATTTCAGTGGAAAATTCCTGACCAGCTCTGATACAAACCATGCGATGGGTGTGGCCTAATGATTACCCAGCATGCAATTTGCCATTTTTCTTTAAAACTGCAATCTGGTGCCAGGCTGCTTCATTACAAAGTAGGATTAGTAAATGCAAATCAAGATTTATTCCCCACAAAGGCATCTTGGTTTGGTAGCTCAAAGGAATGTAAGTTATATTACCTACAATTCAAATATTCACCCCCAAGATACCACCAGGACAGGCATCTTAGAAACACTGGAAATGGACAGATTAGATATAGATATATACGAGAGCTATCATAGCTAGTTCTCTCCAGATATGCAGAACTCATATATTTGTAGATGGACAGATCTTGGCATTAAAATTTAAGGCAGTGGTGTTTAACTATGTATAAGGCTGGAGGCAGAACTGGAAAAGTTATTTCAGTGAATCAGACTTCTTTAAAATGATCTACACTTTCCCCCAGAGTTTCTCATGTTGATGATGTTATGTAGAAAAAGAAGCCACTGGAAGAATTCAACCTTGCAGAGAGGAGAAATGTGATAAAGACCAAGTGCCTATAAATGAGCCTATAAGAACTTGTTGCAAACTGCAGAGATTTCGTTTACCCAGCAAGTAAGTTTGAGTTTCATAAAGCATAAGCAGGCTCTGTGGCTAAGTCACTGAAATCAGATGGCAATTTTACTGCGGTGTCCTAAAAACACCTCCATCTCAAGTAGAACCGGGAAGTTCATGAGGTTGGTGAGGTTAGTGGTTTCAGAGAAAAAGCAAAAAGCCCCCAATTAGCAATTCCAAAGTATTTTTGTCTTGTAAAAACCTTGAGGCAGTTTGGGAGGGATGGGGGTGGGGAGGAAGAAGCTTTAGGTCATTTGCTAGGAGAATCTTGGTTTGTGAGTAACCCCAAACAACTCCTCTTGTAGCAATGAAGAGTCACATAGGCATTGTACAGCACTGTACAGTGAATGAATTGATCCAGGGGGTTAGGCAGGCAGAGAGCTGTACACTGCCAGCCATTATGCAGGGAATAAAAATAAATGTCCACCAGGAAACTGCATATACTTGTCGTCTCACGCAAACTCCCACGCTATAGCCACGCACGGCAGAGCCTGAAAGGCAGCTAACCATACAGATCCACCGAGAAGATCATGGGAGTAGATGCACAGGGCGGGCGCAACCCATTAGGCGACCTAGGCGGTCGCCTAGGACACTAACATTTGGGAGGCGACAACCGTGATGGCCGGACCTTCCGCCGCCTCTATCGGGGGCGGCATTTCGGGGGTGGGACCTTCCGCCGCCTAGGGCGGCAAAAAAGCTGGCGGCGCTCCTGTAGATGCATGTAGCCTTCAGAAAAATGAAAAGGGAGCCAGTTGGTGAAAGTGCACAAAAATTATCCATTGAGATAATCCTTAGAAGAGCTGCACTCAAGAAAACGATCAGCATTTGTTTTCCACAAGCCACTTTTTCCCTCCCCCGTTCAAAGGGCACCTTGAATATGACTTATGGGTTCTGTAAGCCACAAAAGGAAATGTTGAATCAGCATGCAATTCCTAACAGGAAAACTACGGTGATTTAATAGAAACAGCTAGGGCTTCTCTAGATGCCAGTTAAACTTGTTCTCTGACCAGTTTTCATAGAAAGATTAGACGTTTATATGAATAAGAACAGCCTCGACCATTGCACTACCTGGGATGCAAATTACAAGGGCTTTCAAGCCTCATGCTTCAGAGGATACACTGAAGACCACTGAGGTCAGGAAGAAATGTTCCCTGCAGAGTGGCATTGAACAGGGTGAGTGAACGAGTCCATTTCAGAACCACCCATATGTGTGACACAGGTGGAATTAGGGGGGAAGGGATGGCATGAAAGATCCCCAGCAAAATCTCACGTAGCATGGGGATGGGAGAGATCATCAGTGACATATTGTGATATGCAATTATCCGCAGTGAATTAGTGAGTTTGTATTCTTAAATGGAAACATTCATTGCACACTGATCTACACTACCAGACCCTAAGATTCAGATTCACGAGCTAAGCCACGCTTCTCTTTTTAAAGTAACTCAAATTACTATAATTTTCTACCTATCTCCTATGATGCTGTACCTAGCTATACTGAAATTCCCCCATGGGACTTTAGTGAATAGCTTAGCCTGGGATATAATTTACTAAGATTTCAATGACGCTCCCTGCATATCAACAAGATCTATTTCTGCTGCAGCTGCTTGTGTTGAAGGTGGTATTACATCCCTCCTTACATTATACTAGAAAAGCCTTTTATGGCGGTAGCTCAGTAATGCAGGGTATTCTACTTGGGTCTAAGCTCGCACAGACAGCAACTGCCTTGAGGAGACGGATGCAGACCAGGTGGAAAATGTTTTACAATTCTTGAGGATATAAGTGAAGTGCCAATGCTTCAGTTCTGTGCCCACAAGTCCTGAACAGACAGCATGCTTAGCCAGACTGTATCCAGGACTCCCCAGCACCAGAAACCTCAAAAGCAAACTTTGGACTCTGCGGAGTTGGAAATATAACAGAATTCGCCTCTTTGGTGCTATTTAAACTCTTGAATTTCCACATCCAGTTCCCACTGAAATGTGTGAGCTGGAACCAAAACCTCCAAAAAGGGTCAGCGTTTTGGGTGAAAGTTCATGTCAGGTATTCCTGTCACCAGATCGGTTGCCCACAGCCCTTACTCTCCGTATTGCCAAACATAAACACAGCCCAAGCTTTTCTCTTCTCGCAGAATATTTAATATATATTTAATATATGTATAAAGAATATGCTTCTTTGTTCATCATGCACCATGCCACCATGCCTGCCCAAGGTGCGCGGAAGAGTGCATTGCAAGAGAACAAGGATGGTCTTGAGATTAAAGCGCACAAGGAGATCTGGACTGTAGCCCCCAGGTCTGCCGTAGACTTCCTATGTGAACTAGGGTAAGTCACTTAATCTTTCTGTGTCTCAGTTCCACATCTGTACGATGAGAATAGTCATACTTCCTATGCCCGGTCAAGCTCTTTGGGGACAAGGCTTTCTCTGTTATGTGTTTGTACAGCTCCAAGCACAATAGAGCTCCAGTCTTGAGTGGGGGCCTGTTGGTACTATTGAAATACAACAAGAAAATTAGCTATTGTTCATAAGAGATTTTGAGCTCCTCACTGGAAGGTGCTGTAGAAAGGTCACATGTTGTGGCTTTTTGATTGCACAGCACTGAAGTGAGGTGTAGAGGAGTCACATGTCAGTGCAGAGCCAGATACGTGCTCCTTACAGCATACAAGCTTGGACTTGGGGCACTAGCCAGGTTCCATCATTTAGCTGCTCTCTGCAGAAAAATGACCTTGAGTGAATCATGTCATTTGAAAAGAAGCTTGTGAACAACAAAAGCCACATCCCTTTGCCCACGTACTCCACTTCGTTTTGTTTTGTTTTGTTTCATCCTGCTCTGGATTTTGACCTTTCTGCAACCACAGGACCAAAGAACTCTCCAGGAAAACAATGAGAAGGCAGCACGTAAACCTTAGCCCGGTTTCCTCTGCCTGGAACAGCGTTCATTTCTTCCTCTTCTCTGCTGATGGACATGCTGCTGGTTTGGGTCTCGGGGGGCTACATTCTGTTTGACACGCTGTTGATTTAAGAGAAAAACTAAAACTGCTCTGTCTTTTCTAGACAATGGCAATGATCCCTGCCAGGCCACTTTTCTGAGCTGGATCCTTTGTTGCTGGCCAGCGTATGAAAGGTCAGAGCGGCTCTCATTTAATCTTGCTGTGGGCTATTTGTTTTGTCAGGTGTAAGGGACCTTTTGGACTTTAGCTGTTCGTTAGCAGTGTGGGTCAGCCCACGCCAGCCTCTGCTTTGCTTGAACTACTTTTCTCCGGGGTTCTGGAGGGAGCTTGTTATTTGACTGTGCCACAACCGGAATCTTAATGCAGCTGTAAGAGATTCAGCCCTGGTCTATGCTAGAAAATTAGGTCGATTTAAATACGTCGGTCAAGGGTGTGAAATATCCACACCCCTGAGCACCGTTATTAAGCTGACCTAAGTCCCCGGGTAGGTCGACAGAAGAATTCTTCCATCAACCTAGCTACTGCCTCTCAGGGAGGTGAAGTACCCGCGCCCACGGGAGACCCCCCTCCCATCAGCGTAGGTCATGTCTACTCTGAAGTGGTGCAGCTGTGGTGTTTTATGTGTAGACAAGCCCATAGACTAGTGGTCCCCAAACTTTTTAAGTCACAAGCCCCTAACCCGTAATGGTATCTGTCCGCACCTGCTCCCAGGAGCCGCGGTCGGGAGCCAGGGCTGGGAGCGAGACCAGAGCCAAGATCATCTCTCAGCTAAAGTGCCTGTGTAGGGAATCAAGTAGCAGGGATGAAAATTGAAGTGAATAAGAATTTTCACAGACAGACATTTAAGAGGGAGTTATGGCTTTAATCCCTTTAGTAGGTTGCACTAAAGACATTAAAACCACAATTCTACCTTTAATTGGCTGCCCCTCATCTGATCCAAAAACATGCGCATATGATTTTAGAGTATAGTGGTACATGCACCTTCCAAACTAATGCAAAGATGCGAAAAATGCAGTTGGTGTGCGGCAGCGTGTTCCCGTTCTGTTAGTGCAATATAGGTACTGTATCTCTTCCCTAGTTACTTTTCCACCTTGTTGATGTTAGGAGCAAGTAACTGCCTTTACCTGTCTTTTCAGTGTGTACTGCTGCAGACCCTGGCACGTGGCATCCACTCTGGCATGCAAGGACGGTTACTCTCCTTTAACAGTGAGTTCCCATGTTCAAAGTATTTCCTGATTTTTTTTCTCATGGCATCACACGCACGCACACAAGGTTAGTTACTGACAGCTCCACTTGCCAAAGGGAGAAAATATTTGTCAACAGCACTGGTGACATCCAACAAGGGAAGTAAACAAAGAGCACAGCGGAAAACAAGTTAAGGTCTGAATTCTTCAAGCCCTTTTGATGGCAGCAAAGTGAAAGGTGCCCGTAGGCAGCTGCGGTGGATTTTGATTACACAGGGACATGACACTTGTGTACATGGGAAATTGACTGGGATAGCTGTTGCAGAAGAAACCATTCTGCAATAGCTCCCAGTATGTGCACTCTAGTCCAGAATAAAAGTCCCTTTTATTCCAGAATAGAGTGTCCACAGAGGGAGCTATTGCAGAGCAGCTATTGCAGAATGGCCTGCTGCAAGAATGACGCTGGTCGGTTTCCCCATGGAGGCAGGGTCAGTTAGGTCATGGCCCAAAGAGGGGGCTATTGTTGACTTTCTGCTAAAGTTAAGGTGACCCTGGCTTTCTGTGACCATGGCAGAGAAAAAGATTGAGTGTATGTGTGAGAAGGAGTGAATGTCCTCAATAAACCTCACAAAGCAACTGGAATCGGGGAGAAGCAGAGCATGCAGTGGCAGGCAGGGGGGCATTTCCAGGGAAGGTTTGGAGGCGGGGGGACTTAACTCAACATTTGGGTGCCTTGCTCATGCCCTGAACCTCCTTCCGTAGAACCAGGCTGGATAGAAACCTTTGTTTGAAGTTCCAAAATGTTTAGTTCCGGACCCCAAAAATCTCCCTTCCCTGAGCCCACTGTCTAGGAAACAAGGCAGGTCTGACAATTCACCAACCCTGGTCATCTTGGCTAGTGGGGCCCAATCGTGCTCTTCCATAAGAACACACAAGTCCCCTACCACCTTTCTGTGGTGGTTATGGTCGGCTTCCAGGCCTGCTCTCCATCTTACCTTTTTTGGAGAGTGACCAGTACGCCCACTCTTCACCTCCATCTCCCTACGCCCATTTGCCATCTGTTGAGGGGCAGACACCTGGCCTGATGTATAATTGTGTGCATGGTTCTCACCAGAACGAGATGTGCAACCACAATAACAAACAACATCCATCACAGTCCAGTTTCCTCTTTGTAATTCAGAGCACCATTCTTGCTCGCAGAGTGGAGTCAACCAGTGTGGCCCAGCATATATGGGACCCTTCCACATGACATGCTGTTGATTTTCTACTGCTAAGATGCCATTTGGCTCATAAGGATATACTGTATGTTTCTAGTTTGGGCAGCGGTGTCTCGTTTGCTTTCAGAGCCACCAATAGAAGCAGCAAGAACAGCCACCCGAAGTGCAGGGATCCTTGAGAAGGGAGTTGTGGTCCAGTGGTGGTGAGTAGGCTGAGAGAAGACTGCAATTCTATTCCCGGCACTGACATAAGACAAGGCCTTTCATCTTCTCCCTCTGTTAAATAATGCTCATCCTTTGAGTAAAGTGCTTTGACATCCCTGTACTAGCCCTCAGCATTCTCATTCAGTAAATGATTGATATACAGGCTCTTATTAGTAGGTTTTGAGCACTGCAAACTCCCAGTGACTTCAGTGGGAGTTTCTCTTGCCCGCTTCCTCCCGGGATCCGGTTTATTGTCTAGTTACAAGGCTACATGTGCTCTCTACACCACTGACGTTACCAGTTTCTTTTTACTACAGTGTCTCATAGCAACCCAAAATAATAATAAATAAATGGGGCTTCTCTTACCATTTAAAAGCAACTAAAAAAAACACTCTACAAACAATTAGCATTTTATCTTGTTAATGATTCTAAAGCCTTCCACTTGCATCCAAAAATAATTGCACTCAGCAAAAGTTGAGGAATATTTTTTTTTCTAATCATGGAACAGATGTTCCACTAAGACCATAAGGTGGTTAACTGCCAATAAAAGTAATTAACAAACTAAATACTGATTAAAGAAATCATATACTCAAACCAATGCCATTTTGAGAGAGAAGGCTGACCTTATTCTATCTTTAAAATACAAATAGATTTTTCCTTCCTCTTCTGCAAATGTTCTAGTAGCTAAAGGCTATTTTTTGCTATCTTCTAAGTCAGCTCTTCATAAATGAAATGCAAGTTGAGCCAGTCTCCAGCTTGGATATTCGGAAAAACTTTTTTTGGATATTGGGAAAAACTTTTTCACTAGGAGGGTGGTGAAGCACTGGAATGGGTTACCTAGGGAGGTGGTGGAATCTCCTTCCTTAGAGGTTTTTAAGGTCAGGCTTGACAAAGCCCTGGCTGGGATGATTTAGTTGGGGATTGGTCCTGCTTTGAGCAGAGGGTTGGACTAGATGACCTCCTGAGATCCCTTCCAACCCTGATACTCTATGATTCTAAGCCAAAGTGTTGCTTAAGAGATCAATGTCATTTCCAATCCACCCCGTCCCATGCAAGTCAAACAAACGGATCTTCTATCTTTCCCTTTGTAGATAGTGTGTACATGGCAGACGGAGACCAGAAAGTATGTCCACCAACTCCAGCAATAAGTGATTGCTCTTCATCTTCATTCGTAAGTCATGATCTTCAAAGGCTCAGATGATAGATCTCAACTCATCAGGCGGTTTCTCTTTATAATACCAAGATCATATACCTGTTTTATAAATTCTAAGGGCCCTGTCGTTGCTGATGGGGGTTATGAGGGATGGTGTGCTATCATGTGAACTCACATTACATTTTAAATGGGAGAATGGATGTATCGACTGCATGGTATTGAGCAAGTAGAACATTCCAAAAAATGTGCCTGGGCATCAACATCTTAATGGATCTTGGACAAGACTCATGCACTGAGTGTGGATTTCAGTGCGGCCATTCAGTCATGTCCTTGACACAGCCTCCATCAGAATTTTGGGGACCAGAATTGCTTGGTTTCAGAGCACAATCTAAGAGACTTGGGTGGAAGGGTCAGGGCCGGAGTGCAAGGTGAACAGATGCTAATAGAACACACACAAATGAAAGCTGTATTCGATACCTGTTCCTGCCTAAAACCATGTGCTGGGCTTTTTTCCCTACCTTACTCGTGCTTTACAAGGCAACTTTTTCCAGTGAAAGCTATGCAATAAGGGAAGTTTACCACAGCTTGATTTCACTGATCATATTTATAATCTCTTACTTTTTTAGCATGTGTTTTAATTAAATTTCACGCACGCACGCACACACAAATAACAAAACCAGAAATACCTGGTTTCCACTCCCCCCAGTTTTCATCTCTGACAGTAAATGACTAACAAATAGCTGATTGTCCTATAATATAACCTGTTTAATTATTTAGTGTAGGGTTTGTTTATTTATTTATTTATTATTTAGTGCTAGTGGAAAGTGCTAGATTGACAGCAACTGAATTCCTGTTTCTCCAGAGAAGCAGGCACAGCACAGACAAGGAAGAGTGGCAATGTTGCCTAGCGATAGAGCAGGACTGGCCTTGAATGGGAGTCCAGAGACCTAGGTTCTATGTCTAGTTCTATCAGTGACGTGTTGTGTGATGTCGGGCAAGTCACGTCTCCGCTCTGTGCCTCGGTTTCCCCATCTGTCACAATGATAATGCCCCGTTTTTGTCAAGCGCTGTGAGCTCTATGAATGGACATTGCTATAAAAGCTAACCAACAGCAATACTGCAGCTTCTCCCACATACTGCTCTGATGATAGGCCTCAAATCCCCGTCCACCCAGCCCCCCGCCTCCATACTACTCTGGCATAAGAGGAGGGCTTAGGCTCCTTGGCCCAATAAATCCTCAGTCTCTCTTCTTAGACAGGCAACCCGGGGGCCAATTGGGTTGAATATGATGCTTTTGGGGGGGGGAGATGGGCACCTGGCCCCTAGGAACTGGACTGAGAACGTGGCATGTGACTGATTGATTCTGACGGCTGCAGTTTAGTTTAAATTAGTTTTGCGGATCCATCTTTTTGTTGTGTGGCTGTACAGCGCTCCATGACATAGGCTCTTGCCCGCTACTGCCATACAAATAATAATATTTCATTGCACACCAGTTAAAAGTGGGACTTTTTAAAACAAAAAATAATGACACCTTCTTCCCAACAGCATCTGCTATTAAATCTTTGCAGAGAAGCGTGGCACATCTCTCCGTTTTGATTGTAGATTAACAAGGTTCTACCACAATAAGAATTTCCAGCGGTCAGGCGTGAGTGACAGAGCTAGTGGGATCAATATCTATTCAACGGCATTATTTTTGAGGGCTCTTGACTAGATGAAAGAGACGTCAGAATTCACTTTCTGATTAAAGAGCACCCAGGTAACTGGGTTTGCCATGGGGACCGGAGGCCAACGAAGTGTTTAGAAAGGGGCCGAAGTTGTTGTGTTCTATATAAATAGCCGTTTTGATCTTCTGGTACATTTTGTTTTCCCTTTGAAGGTTAGTTTCTTTAGAAAGATTTTACTGCTTGTTTCAGCAAAGCTGGTGCGCAGCCAATGGTGTTAAAACTGGGCTGGAGATATATCAATTTGTAAAACACTTGGTTGGATGTGAAGGCCTGGCTCTGCTTGAGTTTTTTTAAAATGCATTAAACTCAGTTCCTAGCTTCAAGAGGAGGATAAAGTTCCTACTCAAGGCACAGCCTGGTTCTCTTAACACCCAGGAAAATCAGGTGCAACGATCAGGGCCAATTTTTCTGATGTAATGGCCTCCCTTTGCCAGGGGTAATTTGAACCTACAACATTTGTGCCCACAAATTTGCATGCAAACAGTTATGCCAGACCTCCGCCCTTCTTTGCCCTTTAACAATGGTTGCATGTGCAGGCGGGGGACATGGCAACACCTTAGGAAAACTGCAAAGGTCATGTGATTTCAGTGCACAACTAAATAAAACGTCCCAGGTTCTCCCATAACTAAGCCCAGTTCATTCAAAAGGCGTGGGGACCTTAGCAAAGCCACTTGAACCCAGGGTGTGAGTTTTGCATTTGTGACAAAACACAGAAGCAGATGAATTTCATGTTTTGCTGCAAAAATTGTGCACAGATCTCCCTCTGTCACTTGGGTACCCGCTGGCTATTCCCACACCACAACCCTTCTCTGGTCAGAGAGAGCGTTTGCAGTATGCAGAAGTTAAAGGAGCAACTTCTTCTAGGATTCTGGAGTGTGAAATGGGAATACAGGTTCTAGTCTCCTGTCAGATTTAAGATCTCTCCTTCAAGCACGGCTACCAAGCCTGAGGAGCCAGCTATCAAAACTAGAGGAAGGGGGAAAAAATCTGTTTATAACCCGGCATCAGCTTGTCAGAACTCCAACACAATACAAAACAGGGTCACTTTTTAATAAAACCAGATGTCCAGACTAGGCATTCTGAGAGTTTCCCTGTGGAAACATTTATGGTGAGTCAGGTCGAAATCCAAAACAAAAATCCCCTTGTTACATTCCCTGTGGCAGCTTGTGGGCACAGTTAGATTACACAGCTCCAGTGGACACTTTTAGCCCACTTGCCCATATAAGGACAGATCACATGTTCGCAGCTGCTATTCGTTTAGAGTCAAAATCCTATCTCACTGCTCCCAAACCATCCGCAACAGGGTCTTAGCCGGTGCCTTAGCCTGACCTCTCCTTCCGCTGATGTCAACACCAAAGAATAGGGTTACGGTGCCCAGCCCAAATCTGGCTGTAGCAGCCAGATGGGCATTGATCCACTACATTCTGCCCATGTTTCCACAGCATAAACCAGTTCCAGCTGAGCTATTGACAGAGAAGTTCCAGAGTACATTCAGTCCTTGCTGCCTCTGGCGAGTCTGCCAACTACTACCAGTTTGGGTGGGCTTTATGGCGTAGAAATTTGCTCCTAAAGACCAGCTTTCCTTGGATAACTATGATCTTGGTGAAGGATGTCATTTTTTACCACTATAGATATACTGGCACAACCCCTAGTGTGGATGTTTTTTCCCCCTCCCATACTGGAATGACTATATAGGTAAGCACAAAAATACCAGTATAATAATAATTAACTAATTAATAATACCCTAGCTGTCACATAGTGCTTTTCAGCAATAGATCTCGAAGCACTTTAAAAAGGAAGTCAGTGTCGTCTCCCCATTTTAGAGATGGGGAAAACGAGGCACAAAGTGGGTTGTATTGCTTTAAATATACAAGTATAGTTAGAATAGTACAAATCTAGTGTGTAGACAAAGCCTTAGGCTATCGAACAACTATTTCAGGTTGATCCCAAAAAATTGAAATTTTTGGCAAATTGAAAAGACCAACAAAAATCATGTCAGGTTGAATGAAACATTTTGTTTGACCTGGAACAAAATGTTTCATTTGGATTTTGAGCAATTGTTTACATGTTACATTTTTCTAAAAAAA